ATACCTTCACCAAAAACATCTAAAGTGCTTCAGATGGCACTCATTGAGGAATGGGCCACTTTTCCCCAAAGAAATATCCAAAACGTTCAGTTTTGAAATATCAGTTTTAAATTATTTATACCTCGAAAACGATCAAGTTTACAGAAAAACTACAAGGGACTTTGGGAATGATCCAAAAAATTTAAAAAAATTGAACAATTTTTGGCCTGGTCGAGCTCTTCGCCTTGTCTAGATTAGAGATATAAATTTAAAATTTCTAATTTTAAATGTTAGGTCCTGATGGCGATAGATAGACGGCATTAGAATCGTGAAGTTTCTCTTGTAATTAGGAATAACTATATTCTAAAAGTTTTTGCACATTTGCCATACCATCATTCGTTCGAAAATAAAACACCTATTTTAGTTCTGATTAGATACAGCTAATATTTTAATTAGTTCTGCATAAAAAAGTATCAAATCGATTACAGATTTAGTGTTTCAGAGAAAACAGTTGTTGGAATATTTAATTAAATCAATTTTAAGTGTTCGTCCCAATATTTGTTTTAATATTACAAAATGATACTGTTAAATACGTAATTAAAGTAGTAGTATTACGGACTTTAAGTAATTTTAATTCGGTTGGACAATTCATTTCATCAAGTATCGTATGTATTGATTAATTTCAATTTTAGTATTCGCTAATTTTAGATTTACGGTTAGGTAAAATTTGGGTAAAATGTTTGTAAACGCAATTATCTTAATGTACCTAATGTAAATTATATGAAGAGGTGCAATAGAGATGGCAATTGCAGCAGCTAAAAAAAGAACACCGCAGTTAAAAAAAAACAGTTTTTAATCCAGCCCAAGCTCACATGAACGTGAACGCATCCATAAAACCAGACGAGAGTTCACCCGAACAGATACTAAATTTTTACACTGAATATAGTTTTTTTTTCTGGTGTCCGTCTGATCATAAAGATCGCCGTTATCGCTGAAGCTAAAAGAACAATAAGGCTCCGGGCTCTGATGGAATACTTGTAGAAATGTTGAAGGAAGGGAGTGAAATTATTCCCGAAGAATTGAAAATTTTTTTCAACGAATGTCTTCACATAGGAGAAGTCCCAGTTTTGAGAGTAATAACTAACACGTTGCCTCTTCCGAAGGACCCTTAAGCTAGCGGGAACAAATGAGCGGAATCCAATTTAACCTACGTAATATTTTTTCACCCATTTTTCACTAATTTATTACCACCCTAATAATTTTTCACCACCAAACCAACTTTAAGGGGAGTGATTCTGCTGGCTTAAGGTTCAAGCTAGCATAATTCGGAAAAAAAAACTTTTTGCCTATGGCATATTTTTTTACCCATTTTTCACTAATTTATTACCATCCTAATAATTTTTCACCACCAAATCACCCTTAATGGAAGCGATTCTGCTGGATTAAGGTTCAAGCTAGCAGAATTCAGAAAAAAACTTGCTGAATTCTGCTAATTTTTGCTAAATTCTGCTGAACGAAAATAATAGATGAAATATTTCACACAAACAGTGTGAAGAAATGGAGATATTGGAACGTAAACACGATTCCTTTAACCTCAACAAAAAGATCAAAGAAGCAGCAATCATCTATAAATCAAAAATGCCGGGACACTTAACAGACGCTCAAGGAAATCCAATAGTTGATATTGGGAGAAACAAAAACAACGTGGATGAATTATGTGACAACAACATTTGAAGACGATAGGAATGTCACCATCACACAAAATAAAAATGACGATACCGGACCACCTATTCTCGAAGCGGAAGTAGAAGCTGCTATAAAGAACATTAAGGAGGGAAAAGCCGCAGGACCAGATGAGTTCTACTCAGAATTTTTGAAAATTAGGGACAAAGACGAAGTAAAAAGACTTACCGTGATCTTCAACAATATATACCAAAGTGGAAAATACCATAACGAGGCTAAGATCAACTTTTATACTTATACAAACCCCTTAAAAACCCAATGCCAAAAAATGTGAAGATTATCGAATAATAAGCCTTGGGAGCCATCTCCTGAAAACTTTTTTAAAAATTATACATAAAAGAATATATAAAAAGTGTGAAGAACACATGACAAACACACAATTCGGCTTCAGGGATGCATTGAGTACTCGAGAGGCTCTTTTGGCAATACAAGTTCTCTTTCAAAGATGTAGAGACGTGAATTGTGATATATATGTGTAATATTCCACGAGGAAACTAAGTTCCTGTAGCTGGCTGTATACCATATATCACAAAAAAATTTGTTAAAATCCTTTATAAAAGGTATATAAAATTGCCTCAAACGGGCTATCACAAACACATTGCAAAACGTTTTCGGATTAAACAATCCATCATCAGTGCAAACGGTTGTACATGCTAGTAGCCACCAAAATATATGGGTAAAAACCCCTTAAAAGTTATAAATTTCCATCACAAACGGACTTTAAGTAATTTTAATTCGGTTGGACAATTCATTTCATCAAGTATCGTATGTATTAATTAATTTCAATTTTAGTATTCGCTAATTTTAGATTTGCGGTTAGATAAAATTTGGGTAAAATGTTTGTAAACGCAATTATCTTAATGTAATGTAAATTAAATGAAGAGGTGCAATAGAGATGGCAATTGCAGCAGCTAAAAAAAGAACACCGCAGTTAAAAAAAAAAACAGCTTTTTATGCAGCCCAAACTCACATGAACGTGAACGCATCCATAAAACCAGACGAGAGTTCACCCGAACAGATACTAAATTTTTACACTGAATATAGTTTTTTTTTCTGGTGTCCGTCTGATCATAAAGATCGCCGTTATCGCTAAAGCTAAAAGAACAATAAGGCTCCGGACTCTGATGGAATACTTGTAGAAATGTTGAAGGAAGGGAGTGAAATTATTCTCGAAGAATTGAAAAATTTTTTCAACGAATGTCTTCACATAGGAGAAGTCCCAGTTTTGAGAGTAATAACTAACACGTTGCCTCTTCCGAAGGACCCTTAAGCTAGCGGGAACAAATGAGCGGAATCCAATTTAACCAACGTAATATTTTTTCACCCATTTTTCACTAATTTATTACCACCCTAATAATTTTTCACCACCAAACCAACTTTAAGGGGAGTGATTCTGCTGGCTTAAGGTTCAAGCTAGCATAATTCGGAAAAAAAAACTTTTTGCCTATGGCATATTATTTTACCCATTTTTCACTAACTAACTAACCATCACAAATTATAAACACTAATAATGTAAAATAATTTCAAATTTATAACTTTTAAGGGGTTTTTACCCATATATTTTGGTGGCTACTAGCATGTACAACCGTTTGCACTGATGATGGATTGTTTAATCCGAAAACGTTTTGCAATGTGTTTGTGATAGCCCGTTTGAGGCAATTTTATATACCTTTTATAAAGGATTTTAACAAATTTTTTTTTTTTTTTGATATATATGTGTGTTTTGTTGATTACCAGAAAGCGTTCGATAGAATAAAACATGACGAACTGATGAAAATATTAAATTCAGTTGGTCTAGACAGCAGAGATCGCCGTATAAACAATATCTATTACGAACAAACTGCAGCTGTTAGAGTTGGGGATTAGTTAACAGACGACATAAAGATAAAAAGAGGTGTACTACAGGGATATGTATTGTCCCATCATTGTTCAATACATATTCAGAGTACATTATGAGCCAAACGCTAACGGAGATAGACGAGGGAATACTTATAAACGGAGAACGATTGAACAACATAAGATACGCTGATGATACTGTCATTTTTGCAGACAGTCTCAAAGGTCTGCAGACACTTGTCTCCAGGGTGGCAGAAGTAAATAGCAGCTTTGGGCTTGATTTTAACATCAGAAAAACCAAATACATGGTTATAATCAAAAATAGGATACCACCTGGTCAATTACTAGTTATCCAACAACACAAATCACCAACCTTTGTTATCTGGGTGCAAACTTAAATGAACAGTGGGACCAATCGATGGAAATTAAGATAAGGACCGAGAAGGCAAGATCAGCTTTCGTCAAAATGAAAAAAATCTTTAACAACCACGACATAAAATTGGAAAAAAAATTCGTTTACTAAAATGCTACGTATTTTCCGTTCTTTAATATGGCGTTGAAGAAACACGCCGGGTCAAAATGGATGCTAATTGCCCAAGATAGAGAGGCATGGAAGAAGGAGGAGGAGGCCTATATCCAATGATGGATGTTTAGGGCTGTATAGATAGATAATATGGCGTGGAGTCATGGACCTTAACTGAAGCATCACTGAAGAGACTCGAATCATTTGAGATGTGGTGCTATATACCCATGTTGAGGATTTCCTGGATAGACAGAGTTACCAACGAAGAAGTACTACATAGAATGGGTATAGAGCGCGAACTAGTCGTAATCATAAAACGTCGCAAATTAGAATACCTGGGCCATATGATGCGCAATGAACAACGATATGACCTACTTATTACCATACTTCAAGGTAAAGTGCATGGGAAAAGAGGTCCAGGACGGAGAAGAATATCCTGGCTGCATAACCTGCGAAAATGGTTTAACTTAACCACTACCGGACTTTTCAGGGCAGCAGTCAACAAAGCCAGAATAGCCATGTTAGTGTCGAACATCCGTAACGGATAGGCACCATAAGAAGAGAAGAAGAATCATACACGTATTGTGAAACTTTTTTAGTTACCATAATTGCAACAAATTTTCTTCCTGTGTTATTTGCTCCCGGTATGTATACAACATGATCTGCCGTTCGGAAGTGTCCTTGTCCTTATCACTACACTACACTATATTTATCAATTTACCAATAGATCGATTTTGATGTTTTAAATATTAATAAATAAACTTTATAATAATCGAAATAAAATGAATACCGATCTCTTTTTTAAAAATCGTATTTTTGGCTCATTCAATTAAGTAAAAAACAGTTTCTGCAGACACTGTCGAATAGCGAGAGTAATAGGTATTTTATAACAAGTGTTTTCACAGGTAAATATTATATGATGGATCAACAGTTTTGTCTGAGATGGAACAACCATCCCACGAACCTAACAGACGTATTAAGCAGTCTTTTAAGAAGAGAAGCGCTATGTGATGTAACTTTAGCCTGTGACGGTGAAACGTTCAAAGCCCACCAAACAATCCTCTCAGCATGTAGTCCATATTTTGAAACAATTTTTATACAAAATGCTCATCCGCACCCTATAGTTTTCCTCAAAGATGTCAATTACAACGAAATGAAAGCACTGTTAGATTTTATGTATAAAGGAGAAGTGAATGTGTCTCAAAATTTACTACCGATGTTCCTAAAAACTGCAGAAGCCTTGCAAATTAGGGGCCTCACAGATAAGAATTCTTTTAGTAAAAACGACGAATTAACAGAAGTGCCAAGAAGAGACAGAGATAGGATAGTAGAAAGAGACAGCCCTCCGAGTGAAAAAAGAAAACGGAAATCGTCTTCAAACTGTGATATGACATCAAACTCAAACTTTGAAAGGTTTAATGATTCTCAGGTATGTTTCTTATATTATTTTATTGCATAGTTTTACTCTAGAAAGGCATTCCAGTATTGAGTAGTATTTTACAACAATTTCTGTGAATTTTTCATTATAGCCCAGTCTGGTTAAAAAAAGATCGCAAAATTTTTCGCAGATATCTGAAGCTTTTAAGACATAATTGGGGGTTACTAAATGACGAATAGATGAAAAAGTACTCGTATTTTTATCTTGCGTTTTTTTAAACAATAATTTAGGGTCACAATTTGATTTTTTGTCTATAAGTTTTTTTCCTATATTTTACATAAACGATATTTATATCATTTTTGTATATGAAGAATATCTTTATTTTTACGTATTTTAAATTAAAATTGATAAATAATTTACGGAGATATGTCCAAAAAACAGTTTTTTTTGCACTAATTTATAAATTTTATTAATTTTTATCTACAAAATAAAATGTTATTAATACATTTGAACATACAGGAATTGCCGTCTTTTAAATTTGTGCGAAATTTCACCGCGATCAGTCAAATAGTTTAAAAGTTATTTAATTTATTTATCCCCGAGGCTTATTATTTATACTAAATAGATTACATATTAGTTAACAAAAGATATCACAATGCAATCATCAGTGCAAAAACATATCCTGGAACTGACATCAGTTCCGATCATAATCCTGTTGTTGCAAAAGTTCGCGCAAGATGGAAACTAATAAAGAAACAAAAACACCAACTTTGTATAATTGCGTTTTCATCGAAACTATTTACAAAATAAACTTTTGAAAAAGGGGTATGTTTTTTACTTATAAACAATTGTAATAACTTTTATATTTTTTAAGCTACAGACTTGTTCGTACAACCATTGGATAGCTGGTAAAAAAAAACGTTAAAAAAACTTTTTATGACCAATATCAACGAAGTTAGGGAGTATTTTGATGAATTTTTAGAGCGTGGCAGCTGCTACTCATCCCGCCTTTTTTATGCATACCAAGATATATTACCGGTTTGGAGATATTTAGATCTAAAAACATAAATAAATACGTTTACTGTCATCGTACTGTACATATACCTATAGATAAACATATATAAACATATACTTAAATCATTAAAGTACTAAATAAATAATTATAATTAATATAAGGAATATAATAATATAATTTACTTCTTAATGTATATAAACAATAGAGGTGTAATTTTTAAAAAAATACTCCCTAACTTCGTTTTTATTGGTCATAGTTTTTTTTTAATGTGAGTTTTTTTTTTGCCAGCTATCCAATGGTTGTACGTACAAGTCTGTACGTTGAAAAATATAGAAGTTATTATAATTGTTTATAAGTAAAAAAACATACCCCTTTTTCAAACGTTTATTTTGTAAATAATTTCGATGAAAACGCAATATGCATTTAACTTCTGAGATAGTTTAAGTCTGAAAGAATCCTATGAAATTTGCCAAATTAATAGAACAAGTTCAATAGTATAAATAATTAGCCTTAGGGAAAAATAAATTAAATTACTTTTAAACTATGTGACCGATCGTGGGGGCATTTCGCACAAATTTAAAAAACGGTAATTCCTCGATGTTCAAATGTATTAATAATATTTTTTTCCGCAAATCGCCAGGAAATTTTGACATTCCTGTCAAAATTTCTTGAAGAAAAAGTCAGGACTTGCTTACTGTAAGGAAATGATATTTCCGTACAGTTGTTAGTGTTCTACATAAATGATAGAAAACACATTGCTTATAAGGAATTAATATATATTTTGAAAACATCAAGTCATTGCTGAATACATTTTTAAGATCAATTTGTTATATTTACAGTAATTTTTTGTTATATTTGAGTCCCAGGAATGGAAATTTCATCATCACTTATCATTTTACTTTCGAGAACACCAGCAATTAAATTTATAAGCGTCAAGTTTGACAATTCAACCTCAATACGTTTCCATAGTAACCCAAGTAATTTTATTAGGAATTTCAAAGCACCATTTATTTGGGAATAAAATTATCGCGTTTTTTTTTTTAAATCAATCAATATCTGTCGAATTTTAAACGATTTGCGGAAAAATAGTATGTTTACCTCGTAGGAAAAGCCACATTCCTGGACTCTGTGTTGCTAAGTCTCGGCTTGCGCCTCGACTTAGCAATCTTCACAGTCGTCCAGGAATGTTAAGCTTTTCCTACCCGGTAAACAATGTACTATTATGTGAAATATAATGGAAAAAACTTATTGGCAAAAAATTGTTGTTTTAAAAAAACGCAAGGTAAAAATATGGGTACTTTTTGATTTATTCGTCATCTAGTAACCCCCACCTATGTCTTAAAAGCTTTAGATATCTGCGAAAATTTTGCCGTGAAATCGATGATTTTTGCGTAACCAGACTTGGCTAAAAGGCATTACAGTATTGAGTAGTATTTTACAACGATTTCTGTGAATTTTTCAGAAACATTACTTTTTTCTTATTAGCAATAGGTTAAATAATGACAAAATAATGTGCTGAACTGTGTTATAAAAATCGTGTCGTTTGGTAATACGATACATTTAAATATTGCCCTTTCTTATATTTATACGTTGCCATTAAATTTATTTTTTAACGTCGCGAGTTAAAATTTAATTAAAAACCAATTTTTATTGGACATTAAAATGTAATTTTAACCTAGGCAATTTTAAAACTAATCTTTTTCTTTAGTAATTTATTGCTCCGATTTTATCGACTTCCTGCTCTCAAAGAAATCAGATGAGTTCCGCTTTTATAGAGATTGCCGGCATATATTTTGTTTGAGTGTTTGATATAAATTATTATAAGCCCGAAGTAAAATGTAAAGATGTAAAGTAAAAAATACAAACGAGTTAAACAAAGATGTGCAATATTTTATCCCGTAAATCGCAACAGTGGTATCGAAAATTAGTTATGGAATTGCTTTTTGGTACAATGATGGTAAATTCATGGGTAATACAAAAAGATTTTTGCCATAATAGAACAAAAATGTCTCTTCTCAAATTTGGGGAAAGTATTATCGACGCGTTGGTCAATGATGTTCAAAGTACTGGGTTTTCCAATAAACCTTCCAGAAAAAAACACAAACTGACTAGATCTTCCGGATCTGTCAGACCAGTCGAAGAAGATATCGACAGTGTTACAAGCGAATTCTTCAAAGTGATGCACACACACACACACACACACACACACACACACACACACACACACACACAATCACGCGAGGCGATCAAACCTACCACTAGAGACATATGTATACAACTGTAAGAGTGGGATCCACATGTCCGAAAATCAAACCGGTTACACCTCACTAGTTGAGGTGGTACCTATCTGACCCCCAGGCTTTTCCTCCACCCCTCCTCAGCGTGTGACTTACGTGATGAGGCTTATGATCTGAATGTTACGTAAGGTGTCTTGGGTAATGAGACACCTTCTGTTTTTAATGACTGTGGTTAGGCAACGTAACTGTAGGGGTAGCACACATCCGGCTTTTCTCCCTATTTAACATTACTGACTCTATAGAAGTTACTCTAGCTTTACTTCGGGACTCATGTCCCTAAAAAAGAGCGTGTGTTCCAGACAGAGAGCCATCGGTCTAGACTCTGTCTAGTTTCTATCTAGTTCTCTGTCTGGAAAAGAATGTGTGTGCTCGTCACTCAGTTGCCGATTTGACAAAATAAAAAATTTTGTTCTCCTCGCCGGCTGGGTGTTCGAGAAGTGAGTCCTGGCCACCGATCCCATGCTTGCCGCACATGACCTCGATGCTCAGAGTCCGCGTTTGATCAATATTTGATCTGCCTGAAGGGCTTATGCCTGCTGGCTGGTATAGAGTGCCTGACGGGCCTTTTATACATTCTTATTTGTGTTATGTAAATTTTTGTGATGTAACGGGTGTTCTTGTTTATCTTGAAGATGACATGATATTAATTAGACAGTGAGCGATTTTTGTTTTTTAAAAACCAAGTCTATCTACGCTAATACCTTAACTATGGAGTGTGCATTCGCAAGTGTATAACGCTCTCATATACTCCGTGTATATGTTTTTTGTGTTTTTTGTTTTCCCTATTGTAATCTAAACCTAATCTAACCTAAGTGTGCGTGTGGTGGGGTGTGCATTCCCGGTTGTATAGTGCCTGCACACACTCCGGTGTATGTTGTTCTTATACTATATTTTTTGGTGCTCACTGTCTAATATACTCTGTAGTCGGCTCTGTGTCTATCTCTTTCTTCATTTATCCTTCTTCTCTATATCCAATAAGTTGTTGCTTTGGCCGTTTATGTACCGTTCTAGTGTTTATGTCGTAGTTTGTCAACTCTCTTAATGTCCTGCTTGGATGATTTACGAGACCATTGAAAATGGTGTTTGCTCTTTCGTCCATTGTCCTTAGGATTCTTTTCTGTCCAGAGTCCCTGAATAAATACCTCAGTGGAACGTATTGAGGTAGGTTCAGTGCTTCTCTGATTATCCAGTTTTGTGTTGTTTGGATTTTCTTCCTAGTCGTTTTACATGTGTGTCCCCATGCGGCAGATGCATATGTTAGGGAGGGTAGTGGTAGTATTATACTATTAGCAAAGTGACGGAAAACTCCAAGCAGATCGAAAAACAAAAAAAGTACCAACCTTTTGTGATACTTGTGAAAACAAACCTTATTTATGTCTAGATTGTTTTAATATTATCCATAATTAATAATAATTTTTAAGTATTTTCAATTTTTTTATGGTATTTAATATAAAATTGTAATTAAATTTAATTCAAACTGGTTTGTTGTATTTTTGTGAAATAATTTATTATGTATTGGAAAACTGTGCTAGCAGTATCAATTGATATATAATATTACAACTTTCAATTTTTAAAATAGATATATATTTAAAATTTTCAATAGTAATACCACTAGGGATTCAATTTTCGCGATAAGTCTGTCGATTTACTTCTAAACGAAACTGAGTTGCTTGAAAACACCACGAGTCCGTAGGACGAGTGGTGTTTTCTTTAAGAAACTCAGTTGAGTTTAGAAATTA